CTCCTGCATCAATCAATATATTGCCCATAGACTCTTTCAATATTATAACTCAGGGCTTAAATTGTTTCTTCAGTTCTTTGAGCTTCAGAAATGCTGATATGCTTTTCCCTTTTGGCTTTCTAACTCCATGTCTTTTCACATTTCATTATAATAATAGGCTTTGTCTTCTCAAGCCACTCTTTGAAATCTTCTGTTCAGCTCTTTTATCTTCTCATTTCTTCCATTTTCTTTAGCTATTCTCCACTCAAGGGTAAGTTTCAGAGTCTCTTCTGACATCCATTTTGGTCTTTTCCTCCTCTCCTGTCTTTCTAATGACCTTTTGCTTTCTTCATGGATGATGTTCTTGATATCATCCCACAATTCATCTGGTTTTTGGTCACTGGTGTTCAGCGCATCAACTCTATACTTTAGATGGTCTCTAAATTCAGGAGGGATATAATCAAGGTCACATTTTGGCTCTCATGGACTTATTTTAATTGTCTTCAGCTTCAACTTGAACTTGCAGATGAGCAATTGATGGTCTGTTCCACAGTCAGCTCCTGACCTTGTTTTAGCTGAAGATACTGAGCTTCTACACCTCTTGCCACAGAGGTAGTCAATCTGATTCCTGCGTACGCCATCTGGTGAAGTCCATGTGTATAGCTGCCATTTGTGTTGTTGAAAAAAGGTATTTGCAATGAATAAGTTGTTGGTCGGATGACACAGAGCCACAGGAATCCAGGTAAGGGGAGGCAGACAGGCCCCACACCCAGACACTAGAAGCGGGGCAAGAGCCAGGGACAAGACAGAGCCACGGGATCCAGGTAAGGAGAGGGAGACAGGCCCCACTCCCAAGAGGCAGGAAGGGGGGCGAGGAAAGCGAGGGACAATAGAGCCATGGGATCCAGGTAAGGGGAGGCAGACAGGCCCCGCACCCAGACACAGAAAGTGGGGGAAGAGCTGGGGATGAGACAGAGCCACAGGATCCAGGTAAGGAGAGAGAGACAGGCCCTGCACCCAAAAGGCAGGAAGGGGAGGGAAGCCAAGGACGATAGAGCCACAGGATCCAGGTAAGGGGAGGGCGAAGATGTCTCGAATAGCTAAGGGAGACAAACTTGTCTGTTTGTTGTACTGTGGTGGCTTGCACAATACTGTGAGGCTTGAGGCTGTGCCAGCAGGGTTGCACATGGTGCACAGGTTTCAATGCAGCTTACAGACTGAGACAGACTAGGAAGAAGGAAGAGGCCATCCACTTCTCAAAGAATTGGCCAGGAAAAACCTTATGAAAAGCAGAGAAACACTGTCTGATACATTACTGGACAACTTTATTAATATTCCTGAAACACTGTCCAATACAGTGCAGGAAGACAAGCTCCTTAGGTCAGAAGGCACTCAAAATATGACTGGGAAAGAGCTGGATCATCAGAGTAGAACCAACCTTAATGATATGGATAAAGTAAAGCATTCGGGACCTCCATTTGCTTACATGGCATGACTCACTTTGAGGAGAAACAGCTGCAAACATCCATTAATAATCGGAACATGGAATGTACAAAGTATCAATCTAGGAAAACTGGAAGTTGTCAAAAATGAAATGGAACATATAAAAATTGATATCCTAGGTATTAATGAGCTGCAATGGACCAGTTTTGGCCATTTTGAATCCGACGACCATATGATCTACTATCCCAGGAATGATAGTTTCAAAAAGGAATGGCGCGGCATTCATCATCACAAAGGATGTTTCAAGATCTGTCCTGAACTACAATGCTGTCAGTGATAGGATAATATCCATAC